GTGGGCTTGTTCCCAGATAAAGTCAAACAAGGCAATACTCTACCTTCTTGTTTCATTTCTTATACTGTAAAAAAGCATCCTTTTCGTAATGTATTTACTGCCATGTTTGGGCTTTTGTTGGTGGCTTTTACGGTTTAAAGTGGCCCTAAAGCATAAGGCTGAAATGCTGTCTAGTGTTCCTAAGTGCAAGAAGGCTGTGACATGTCTGACGGTGAAAACACATAAGTCAGTTGAGCTTCTTTTGGGCATGAATGACCATGCTCTTGGCCGTGAATTCAGTGTTCATAAATCAACAATATCATAATCCAGATAAAGGAAAAGGAAATTCACCAGTATGTATGTGAGGCTGCTCCATCAAGGACCGAAGTAACCTCTGTAAGTGCTGTGGAAAAGCAGCTCAATTTGTGGATTCATAAGACAAGGATAGATTTAAAAAACGTAGTAGACAGCATTCTTGCGGGGCTGAAAGCCAAAGAAATTTAGTCATGTTACTCAGGGTCAAGAAGATGTTAAATCTTTCTCAGGCAGTGTTTGAATATAAAGAACTACTGTATATAATTATTTGTAAAACACATATATTAAATAAGCTATCTTTAGACAGAAACACACATAAGGTTACTTGTTGATCAGTTGACAAAAATAAACCAAAGACTCCCTAAGAACCTAACCCTGTATTTCCCTGAGCAGTGGTTCAGTACTAATTCAGGATTCACAACAAATGTATCCACATAACTATGGTAGATAACAAGAATCTACTGTACGTTTTCCATGGAGCTCAAAGCTGTTTTCTTTTTGCATGGAGGAAAAATGTAACCAACACTTCCTCCCTGAATGGTCTGTCTTGTAAAAGGTATAACTCACTTCTGCTCTATAGCAAATACTCTTACTGCTGTTATCATGACAGGTGCCACCAAGTTTCCCTGGCCTAGGTAAGTGCCCACAGGACTTTTGGGTGTATGCAGGTGCATCTGGGTGGTGGAGTACTTTCATTAGAGAATACAAGTCTTCAAGTGGCACTGGACCAGACACAGTAACATCCTTTCTCTTACTTAGTGGGATCTAACATACTAGAATTCTAAGAGGCATTTTCCTTTTGTTCCTGTGCATCCTGTAGCGAAGTGACGATGACGACAGAAGCAGTGACAGGAAAGATGGGGCTCTAGAGGAGCAAATAGAAAGACTGCAGGAAAAAGTGGAATCTGCTCAGAGTGAACAGAAGAATCTCTTCCTCGTTATATTTCAGGTATCTTGGCTTGGGACACTGATAGGTAAAAATGCAGTACTATTATTTTTAATCATAGTACACGTTTATTTATAAAAATTTAAATCACGGGGCGCCTGGGTGGCGCAGTCGGTTAAGCGTCCGACTTCAGCCAGGTCACGATCTCGCGGTCCGGGAGTTCGAGCCCCGCGTCAGGCTCTGGGCTGATGGCTCAGAGCCTGGAGCCTGTTTCCGATTCTGTGTCTCCCTCTCTCTCTGCCCCTCCCCCGTTCATGCTCTGTCTCTCTCTGTCCCAAAAGTAAACAAACGTTGGAAAAAAAAAAAAAATTTAAATCACAAAAATTTGCAAAGGAAATAACCATGTGTACCTCCACAGTCTGTTTCGTTTACAGCATTCTTACATGACCATTGCTCCAGGCTTTAAAAACATTTTTTGAGGATCCTTTTGTGGAGTACCTCACTCCTATTTATTCCCACTTGTTCATCATTTGGATTATTTTCCTTCTTGGTGAACATTATTTATGTCCTTAGAAATAGGTGTGGAGAAAAGTTACTAGCACAAATAATCTAGATTTAAAAGTGTTCACATACTGAAAAAAGGATATACTAACATTATCACTTATCTGCCTATTTCTAGAATTTATTAACAAAAGTTAGCGATACCACAAAAACCGAGTGGAATAAGCAATGCCTTTTGAGGTCTCTTGGTCAAAAATGTGATTGTTTGAGGTATAAGAATTCTCCCTCTAACACTGCTTTAACTTTTTACCCCTTCTCCAGCGTTTTATCATGATCTTGACCGAGCACTTAGTACGATGTGAAACGGATGGGACCAGCATATTAACACCATGGTATAAGAACTGTATAGAGAGGCTCCAGCAGATCTTCTTACAGGTTTGTGGGAAACCCTGATTAGATAATGAACATCACTATTCCCAGCCACAAGGACTTTCCATGTTAAAAAATGGTCAGATTTGTTGGGAAGTTTCGTAATAGTCTATAAGGCCCTTTTAATGTCTGTTTGCTCCTGTTGCTCATCAGAATATTCAGAGTGAAATTGGTTCTATATGCAGTTCAGACTCCTAACTGCCGTTCTTTAGTCCGGTAGGGATCTCCGTGTATACAAGTCAGACAGGCACACAGAGAAGAGATTATTTCATGACACTTTCTTCCCACATAGCCTCAAGCCACTGATTTTCAGTGAGACAGATGAGCTATTTAAGACCTATATTGAGGTTTGGGTTTATTTTGTGGAATAGTTAAAAAAAATTAACAGGTCATTGGCTAATTCTGTATTCTTTTACAATCTTAAATGTTCTAACCAATAAGAGCAAAAAAACTTTCATTGCAAAGTATTTGTTTCAGCAGCCTTTCAGCAACCTTCATTCTAATCCTCCTTCCTGGGTTAATCTTGCCGGGTCAGTCCCTGTCTGGGCTCCGTTTACAAAGTCCTGTCTTTGGTCCTAATTAGGAGAGACCCAGCTGAACCTAGTCTGTAGCACCAGGCACTCTTGCCAAGCCTTGAAGCATGAACTACATTTACGTAAAGGACTCAGTTCTCACCAGTTTCTAAGTTATCAAACATCCCTTTTTCTTCATTTCCCTCTACATGTTCTTAATGTTGGGGCTTTCCAGGAGCCCATTCTTCCTATCAAGGATAACCACTTTTTTCCCCAAACCCTTCCCATCATTCCACAATGTGGGCAGGCTGCTGAGGGAAACGTCCTGCGAGATTGCTTATGCGGTCTTTCTCCTGATCTAAACACCCCCTTTTTTTACGTCCACAGCATCACCAAATAATCCAGCAGTACATGGTGACCCTGGAGAACCTGCTCTTCACCGCCGAATTAGACCCTCATATCCTGGCTGTGTTCCAGCAGTTCTGTGCCCTACAGGCCTAAGGGTCGTTTTACTCCCCTGTCAAGATTTTTTTTTAAATATCTCAAAATAATTTGTCTTATTTTTGATGGTTTGAATGCTTGCTTTCTTGTAGCACCCTTTCACTTACTAAAGGGGGGGAGGAGGACAGTGAAGAATAGAGAATTGATTACCTTTAATTGGCCCTACAAGGCAAATACTCCCTACTGACAATGTGACGATGACCATAGGATGTATTATATCTGTGACAGATACAACTGTTCTGGTATTTTTTTCTCCTTAAGGCACAAAAGATAAGCGATTTGAGGTATGTGAACACTAGAGGTCCAGCTTACAAAGTAGTATATAGAACTGGTGGGTTTACTATCAAGTAGCATAGCTTTTCACAGCTCATGGATAACCTAACATGGCTGAAATAAAACTAAAAATGTTTTTTAAACTTTGGTATTTCATGATTTATCATCTCAATCTACTTTAAGATTGGTGATTTCCTCATTCACAATTCTTCCCTCATTCAGAATTCTCTCTTCAGATCTTAGTGTTTTAAAATGTTACACATATTAAGTGTTATTTATTTAGCACTACCCAAATCTGTTTGAATATAAGTCACCTGAGAGTCTTTAAAGTTATTTTCTAAATTAAACCACAGGGGGGCGGGGGACACAGCCGTAGTTCTTAAGGCTCCCCAGGTGATCCCGGGTGATTGCCAGTGTGTGGACAAGTTTGGGAACCATTACCTTGGAGCTGTCCGGTCATTTCCTCTGTTCTCTGAGACAGATTTGTCCAAGGTCCAATTATGAAGTACATGCTAAAGTGGAAATAGAAGCAGCTAGTTTGGATTGGCTAAAACTGTACTGTAGGCATGGACTTTGTTTCTATAGAATTTAAGTCCAAGGAGTTACTAATTCTTGAGCCAGTTTCTTACATGGTATTAAAGCTTAACTAAGATAATAAATGAGTACACATGTAAAATATGCAAAATAGGGAATTATCTGACATTGCAAATTTCTAGCATTTTAATAAGCCTTCATTAAACCTGAGGAAAAATTTATCAACAACCCCACAACTGATAAGTAGTATTTCTCTGTTTGTACAACATAGGTATCTTTCACTTATTTAGGTCATAAATTTATGCTGTATTAGTATTTTTCATATTGTTACATGGTCTCTTTGGAGTACCCTTCATTTGGTGACTACAGAATATAGTCAAGAGATGGGAACTCCTAAGATTTTTAAATAACCATACCATGCAAAACAAGAATTGTTCACAGAATTAAGGGTGCATGGCAGGTTACTAGCCGAAAGGAGTCTAAAACCCAGGCTCTTGGCTAAATATTCTTTTGGTTATACTGTTCCTCCTTCCCACAAACAGTATTCAGTTAGACATGGCTCTTGTCCTGAAGAAGCCAAAAGGATGACCCTTTAAGGCTTTGGGAACTTTGACCGTAAACTGACTTATAAATCTTTCACAATGTATTGCAGAGTTTGACTAATTATACTTGCTTGATCCGAATTCTAGAGGAATTTCTTGGATCCTCTCTTCATGTCAAGAATGCACTGATGTGACCCCGCTCACAGTCTGGCAGCTAAGTTTAAGGAAAACTACAGACCGAATTTCAAAGATGTAAGAAACTAGACAAATTGGGAACTATATACTATATATATATTAATGTGCTCATTAACAAGTGGCTGTTAGATGCCACGTGCTACAGATCTGCCATATGTAATCCTCAAACAGTCCTGACAGGATCATGCCCATCTGACAGATAGAAACAGGCCCACAGAGTAACTTACCCAAGGCCCACAGCTAAAAAATGGAATTGGAACCTAGGTCCATGTGGCTCAAGGGCTCTATATCTCCCATGCAGTAATGCTGTTGTCAGCTGCCTGGATCCCTCAGTACTCTTGTCCTCAAGCTGGAAGCTTTCTCATGGTCCCAGGAAGGTCTTGCTGCCCACTGTCCAGTGTTTACTGAATGAATAATTGGCACATTTAAAAAAAAACTGGACTAATACATTAAACTTTTTAATACTTCTATAAAACATTTCTATATTGGATACTTGTATAGAGAACAATTAGTAATTACAGTCTTAAGCCTATTTGGGTTGGACTTGTTCAGACTTGCCTTCAAGTATAATCTGCAAGATCTGATCTAGAAAGGAAAATGAAAACGTATGAACATCCTATTTCTCTGTTTGTAGCAACAGGACTAAAAAAGCCAGGTCAAAGAACAATTTGAAAACATGCGGTTTATCTTAACCTGAATGTTTTTGTAAGAAAAAAGCACAAACCCTGTAATCAGGCACATTTGGATCAAATCCTCTTATTAGTATAACTACCTTGTAAGCCTTTTGATAAGACAGAGGCAGAACTAAATGGGTAAAAACTTGATCCATACGTCTGGGGTGATGGTGGGTTGTAGGTGATCACTTCCTTTAGAAGTGCTAAATAAACAGAGACGTTCTCTTCCATCCCAGGATTATAGGAGAATACCCGTAAGCCACTTGGCATCATCCCTGCCCGGCCCATGGTAAATGCTCAGTAAAATGTTAGCAAGTTATGATAAACTTACTAACAGTACCTTCTTTGATCAGTAAAACAATATGGCTGTTTTTCCATTTGAATCTGGATTTGAAAAGGGCTACCTAGACAAGGACGTTAAGGCCTATGGTGGTAAACCCCAAGGATACAGGAAACATGATCAGACTCCCACAACTCACTTCCTACTGGGAATCAGGGCTTATCCAACAACAGCTCCCCAGTTCCCTTATGTGGAGAACAGGGTATAGAAGACCCGGCCAGCCTTGGGTTCAGGATCTACCACCGTCCGTTATTTCTGGGAGAAGGATCCTGTTCAGCCAGCTTCTGCCATTACTAAAAGCTCTTCCTCTTGTTCCAACATAGGGTTTGGCTTGGTTTCTTATTTCTCAATTTTGGCTTTAACCTAACTTCTGAACCTACTCCACCCCTTGGCTCCCATCCCTGTTGTAGAAAAAAGCAATCCCAGACCCAGTATTATGCCTACAACCAGACCTGCTGGACCCTTACTGAAACTTGCTTTTAAGCCACAACATACAAATTTCTTCCTGAAGCATGATTTATAGGAGTGTCCCATTCATCTGTGGCAACATCACACTTTACGAGTCACATTTTCTCATAGGTCAGCTCGTGGCCACACATGGTACAAGTCTTCCGGTATGTATCCTCCTCTAGGCTTTCTTCTGGTCCATACTCATGCTGATGAACAACTGTTTCCCTTTTCCACACGCTGCTTCTCACCGCTCGCCGTAATTCTAAGAAAATAAAAGCCAGTTTTTCAATGATGCTGTTCAGCTGAATCCCCAAATCCACCAGGGGTGTATGTATAAACCAAATAACGGTTTACGTTACTTTTATAACAAAATTGATTCTAGAACCATGGCAGGCTTGGCCTGTGAAATTACTCCTCACTGTTGGGAGCCATGTGAAGTGGTTGATAGAGAAATGGGGTAAATGGGTTAGAGGGACAGCAAAACACAAAACTTTAGAAGATGAATGGAAACAAGATCATAAAAGAACGGGGTTTATTCAAGCAGCTAAGGAAAATGATGCCACAGCAGGTAAGGGGTGTCAGCTGGGACGACTCAGGACAAGGAGAACTTCAAAGTTCCATATGTTAGGAGCTACTTCTGTAAGAGGCAGGTCAAGTTACGTCTGATAACTAGAAAGCCAAGAACTCTGTTGCTATGCTGGTGTCTCATCTCAGAAAAACTGCTTTTGCACCTGACCTGAAGGTCATTCAGTTCTTTATCCTATAAAATGAGAGCAATATTTTAGAAGAGGGACTGCCAATTATTGCATTCTTGTATTACCTAAATGTAAGAATCAGAGACAATTAAGAGCTGGAAAGAACCATAGTTTTTATTTTATTTCACTTTATTTTTTTGCAGGTAGGGAAAGAGAACAAAGATAGCATATGAATCCAAGTCCTTTATTCCATTGTTTAGAATGTTTCCCACTGCATCGTGTGAAAACGTCATTTAAAAAAAACTGCTGGATGCTTTGAAAGCAACTAAGCCAAATTACATTTTAAAAGTTCACACCACATTACCTGAAGACACCAAATGCTTACTATTAACTGAAAATTAAGCTAGTAACTTCTCGGGTTTCCAAATTAATGAATAATAAGCAACACGGTTTACACTACTCTGTTCTGACCAGTGATCCATCAAGCCCAGCAATGTTGTTGACAGGGGCACTACCTAAGAAAGAGTAGGTTACACAATCTCAACCATAAAAAATCACTGGACACCAAGTAATCACACATTTTCTTTAATCTCTTTCAGATTTATGATAAGCAGTATCTAAATACTTGCATCTTTGTAATTTGCCCTTCACTGCGTCAGAAGGATAAGCAAACATAGGACTATGTATCAGGCACTGTTCTAAGCACTGAATCTATAAACACAGTGAATCCTCACAACCCTCTGAGATAAGTAAACTATCATCCCAGTTTCAACAGCTGAGAAAACTGAGGCCCAAAGAAGTTACATATGTTGTGCCTAAGGTCAAACCACTAGTCAATGGCAAAGGTGTCTTTGTGTTATTAACCACTAAAGCTGTGCTGCCTTTCACACCTCCAGTACGAGAAGCACTTTATCTCACACCATTATTGTCAAGCTTCCGTGTATACACCTCTAGACACTTTCCAAACTATGGGGAAAATTGTGTTCATCCAAACAATCTCTTCCTATATTCTCTCCCTCTGAAGAATGCAAATTTTTCTAGATGTATCTGGAATGCCCTATCCTTTTATTATTTTACCTTAGGACATTTTCTAAATACAAAGTGAAATCATGTGCTGACCAGCACAGATGCCTCCTGGCTTCAGATAATGACAGGAAGAGGTCTCCTGTTTGAATTCTAATAACTACTTTTCAACTTTGTTCTGATAAAAGGTATCCTACCTAGCCACTTTTCCTCTACTACTCCACTGAGAAAACACACTCTAAATCTGACCCAGTCTCAGTCACTACTAAGCTAACCTCTACCTACTTTGAGCGTTACATGAACTCCAGAAGATAAGAAAAATATTTGCTTAATGCTAAAAGAATACTTACAACAAAATCTAGTTTACTGACCATTATTGGTCATAACTGAACACAGGTTTTTACTGACTTTACGGCTTTTTCTTCCCATCCTTCAGCTAGTCGATCAAGAACAATGACAAGAAATGAAGGTAAATCTTTAGTATTTACTAGACATTCCTGGAAAAATGGACTAGAAAATAAGTACTAAAATACTGATACGTTTATCATTTTTTTGCCTTCTTTCACTTCTGAACAACCATTCAGTGAAGCAAGGCAGGCAGGCATCTGTGGTAGGGCAGAGGGAGCCCAAGAAAGGGAAGGAGGATCTCCCTACAGTGGAGGCAGCACACAAACGGGTGTCAGTCAGATAACCACATTAAGGATAATGGGAATCAGGTTCTCACTGTCAGAGAAGGGAGTTACAAATAAGAAAACTAGAATGAACCCTAGAATTCTGGATTAGAATTGGCTATAGTAGTGTGAACTCAGCGTGTTAATTTATAATATATATGGGCAGACATAAAAATATATTCACGTGTTTTGTGCTAGAAAGAAATCTTCAACAAATGATTAGACATGGCAAAAGGACACAGGAGCTAGCTTGAAGACTCCTACTGGCCCAAACCTGAGACAAATAAGGACAGGAATTCATGAATCCATATAATAATAAATAAATGGCAGAAGGGATGCTGTGGAATGTGGACTTCTGACTGGTTAACTGTGAAGAGAGCAGTGAAATTAGAAAACAATTTTTGCAAAGAGTATACTGAAGACTGCTTCAGGCAAGAACCATCCATGAATGGCTGCTAAATCTCCAAGGAGGTATTAAGGAGAAGCAGGGTATCTGTTTGCTTTTTTTTGTGCTTATCAAGGGCAGATGGACATCTGTCCCTAGATGTGCTGCTACCTATGTACTATCTCCAGCCTGAAACGCATAACCTGAATCTAACCATTGGGAAACATCAGAAAAGCCCCAAATGAAAAACATTTCTAAAAAGGCAAGGTGGGGAAGGGAACAGACTTCTTCAAAAATGTCTGAAAGGCTGTGGAAATATTCCATAATAAAGAAATTTAGAAAGACTTGGTACCTCAAGTCAATGCCTGATCCTAGACTGGATCCTCTACTATAATGAAAAACTACACAGGACATTACTGGGTAAACAAAACTAGAATATGGATGACAGATTAGATCAAAATATCACTACTATACTTTGGTTTTGTAAGAGAACACTGCTATTTTTAGGAAACACACGCTGCAGTACTAGGGTAAAGGGTGATGATGTACAACCCACTCTTAAATGGTTCCAAAAAGAGTGTGTGTTGTGTGCACAGAGTACAGATGGCACATTAACAATGCATCTGTTAATGTTTGTTTATTTTTGAGAGAGACAGAGTGTGAACAGGGGAGGGGCAGAGAGAGAGGGAGACACAGAATCTGAAGCAGGCTCCAGGCTCTGAGTTGTCAACATAGAGCCCGATGCAGGGCTCGAACTCACGAACCGTGAGATCATGACCTGAGCTAAAGTCAGACGCTTAACCGACTGAGCCACCCAGGTGCCCCAACAATATTATCAATCTGGGTAAAGGATACGTGGGTGTCCTTAACTATACTTATCTTTGCAATTTTATGGAAGTCTGAACTCCATTCCAAAATGAAACTTAAAAAGTCAGGAGCTAGCTGGAAGAAGCCAAATTTGAGACCATTTGAGCTTCAAAATGCATCAGTTATGGACTGTAACACTGATTTGAAAGTAAGAATCCATGAAGCCAACTGATACTAAAAAAGGTCTTCTTCCCAAAGGAAGCCAAATAAGAATTACAGAAAGAATAACAGAAATAGAAAATCACCATTTATATCCACCCTAATAACAACAAACGCAGGCAAGAATCATCCCCGTTGTACCAAAACCTGAGTGAGACTTAAGGAATGGGGTGTTCCCGCAGTATGGGAGAGTCCAACCCAAAGATTTCCTACGAATTACAAAGGGGAAAGGGTACCTTGACAGTGGGGAAATCTAGCAGATGCCGCCTTAACCACGCAATCAAACAGAGTATCACTCTCTTAGAGAACTGGTCTAGCGTGTCTTCCGGATGTGACACACTCGGACACATCACCTAGGAAGCATTCCTTCCTAATTATTCCTAATAAATCTAAATAGAAGGACATTCTGCAAAACAGGTGGCGGACTCTTTAAAAATGTCAATGTCATGAAAGATAAAACAGGTGAGGACCTAAAAGAGTACACACAGGCATCACCCTTGACCGCCCCTTTGTTCCAACAACTAAAATGCTGTGAAAGACACTAGAACAAATGGGGAAAGATTACGTACTAGACAATAGCATTTTATGAATATTAAACTTACTGTGACACTGTTTTCAGTTACACAGAACGTCATTGTTTACAGGAGATAACACGGTGAAATATTAAAAACCACAATGTCTGCAAGAAAACTCTTAAATGGTTCAGCAGTGTGTGTGTGTTTGTGTGTGTAAACATATGTGGCAAAATGTCAACATCTGGTGAAATTAAAATGTTTTTAATTAAAGATTAATAAGTTTATGTTACTTCATTTAAGCAACTTAAAACTTTGCAAAGCAGAGGTCACCACCTACTGCTGAGTGAGAAGAGGGAGGCAGAAAGGTCAGAGCCTCCAAGAGTGGGAAAGATTCACTAGCCCTGGAGAGATCTAAGGAAACCTTGCGGGTGGGGAGGAGGAAACATGCCACACAGCCCAGAAAGCCCAGCTGAGCTGCAGAACAACACAGCGGGTTTCCGTGTTACAACCTCCTAGTCCCACCGGCCTAGAAGCTCACAGCACAGAAAGCTGTGGGCTACCTCTCTTGGACGTTTACAAGTGTCTTGCTATGGATATCTTCAGAGACTGCTTATACTGTTTACCCAAAGTTTCCCCTTAAATCCTTGTTTCAATGAAAAATTTAGTTTATACCACTCTAAAACTTATTTTATTTGGCTTAATATCTTAATTTTGTACAAGAGGCAGCATGTATTCGAAGAGGCCCAATGCTGCTTTTGAGGTAAACGCACAACAGAACTAGCTGAAGGAGACCAAAGTTTCTGAACACTTGATGGGACGGCAGGAAGTTCTGACACAGGGTGCTCCTTGTTAACTACAGGGGAAAAAAATCACAAGGAAATGTCAAAATAACATGAAGCTTTGATCTTATCTTGTCCTCCATAAACTGAAGCAGAGTAACACGGAGTTGTGTCTTCAAACTGCTGACAGAAGCCTGAAAATGGTCATACAAAAAACCACAGGTCCGGGATGTAAAATCTCCATTCACTTAGAGCCCGCAAATGGGCTTTTCTTACCCACCTCTTTTGGGGGGAAAGTGCATAGTAACAAACAATGAAGAATCACTTTCCATTTTTTAGAAGGCCAACCTCTGCCAGTACTAGGTAAGAGAAAACTTAAGGCTTTTCTTTAAAGCTACACTCCTCTCCACTTTATTTGTGGAGAGGCATGCAAGCCCAGAACGTTCCGTGTATCTGCACCAACTGAAAGTTCTCATCTGAGCAAAGCCAGCACGCAGGGCATTTTCTGAAATCCAGTTAAACTGAGCAGCAGTGACGCCATCATTTCTACTTATGCCTTCTTGGATTTGAGAGATCTATAACAATGTGAATTTGCTGACAATTCTTGTCTCTCACTTTGTATTTGTAAATACTTTATGCTATTTATACTTAAATTTCTTCTGTAGTAAGATCAATTCTTTCTCAAACTGCTAAAGTAGATCATATTCTAAAAGCAGGTAAATGTAATCTCTTACCTTTACATTAAGTAAGCTTTGTGTCAGCTTCTTTGTGGATCAAAACCAGAAGACCAAGAGGAACCAGGTTCCAATTTCTTTTCAACTAAAAGACTTTTAGACTTGCTTTTATTCCTCTCTGTTCTGAGCAAACTGCATGGTAAGGTCCTTGTTTCTAATCTCTACAGTGTCTACTCCACTCTCAGCCCTTTGTGGCCTAGTCAGGAGGACTGGAACATATTCACCAACCTCTAAAGTAAACCAACAAGAAGAAGCCATAATTAAAGAGGGTATCACGCTGACCTCTGCACATTAAACACCAGAAGACATGGAGTAATGCTTATATAGTTGAGAGAGAACTCAGGTTTTCAAATGCAAAGGAAACAGAAAAACATTCTAAGATTTATAGGGACTGGGAAACTCTACCACTTCTGTAACCACTCAGAAAAAATTTCCTCAAAAAGGCATGCTTCATCCAGACAGGAAATGAACTGAATTAAAGAAACCAGTCTTAAGAGGTCCAAGAAAAAATTCAGGGAAAATTCGAACTCTTCAAGGAAGAGGAAAATCCAGTTTTATCTGGTGATTAATGGCAGCAATTTGATACAGCCAATTATATTTAATACCTATGAAAATTGTGTAAATCTCAAAAGAACTGTTCTATTCAAACCAATAGTTGATCTACAGGATTACCTTAATTTTTATAGCAAAAAGCATAAAACAGATGCCATCATCTTTTATTGTTAGTCAAATTAGAGAAATTTAGCCACCTTTAGAAGAAGACATCTTGACCAAACTACAGGAAATAGTAATCTCAATAAAAACTACAGATAGCCCTCCTTTTTAAAGTATTTGATCACTCTGAACGCTAAGTTTCTAACTCCTTTATCCATATATTACTGTCTGTACCAAAACACCACCAGGAAAGTTGCTTAAAGAGGCAGTAGAGAAGGAAGAGTTGAGGTGACTGATTCAGGGTAGCTGTAGTAAAAACCCCAGGCTGATGTGTAACTAGTCTGTAATTCTGCCCTCCTCTTTCAAACCCAGTAAGAAGCCCTCTGTTACTGTACCCTTCAGGGCTCTCCTTGACGCAGGAAGAAGGAAGGGCTAGAGTAAAGCGTGAGGTAGAGCATAACCTAATAAAAGATGAAAAGGACCAAATTTAAAAGTCTTTGCAAAGCCTCTCAGTTGATTCTTGCAGGTATTTTCAATGGCTTGGTACAGCAGTGGCTAATTTGGGGAAGATTCTTCAATGAAATGCTTTTATATGGCACAGTTTGCAACAGGAAACTTCTAACAAAGTCATAAAAGTGTGCTTACCCTCTGATTCAGGAGCTGGTATTTTAAGTAACTATAATTTACATAAAAATATAAATAGGGATGTTAAGAGGTTGTTTTAATTAGCTTCATAAAATTCCATTTTTATAAGAAATAATTTTAAAGGGTCTATGCATTGAAAAGAACTAAAAAACCAGACATTAAAACATCACTACTGATGGTCTCTGGGAATTAGAATACAAGTTCTTTGCAGTTTCCTAACTTTTCTGTACTGCACATGAATTAATCTTATGATGAAAAGAGAGGAAAACATATCCTCACGAAGAAACAAGGCAGGCTTATATTCAAAAATTTTTTGTTCTTTTTTAAGACATCTGAACTATCTTCCAAAACCTCTTCTAAATCCTAAATACATACAAAAGTATTTATTATGGCTAAGACCCTCATTTTAAATGGATCAATTCAGTATATGCAGAGCCCTGTAAATACATAGGATACGTGCTATCTATATACACCTGACACCACACTGGGACTCGACAATTACTGTATAAGGAACATTTATGCCTACTGTGTAAGACTCTTTCTAGGGATTCTGCGATACAGCAAACAATGCTCCTAGTGCTCCGGGAGCACCCTGTGCTCACCACTATCACAGTACTTATCATGCTCCAATATGATATTAAGTTTACTGGCCTTTCTCTTCTGACCAACTCTGACTCCAGCATTTATGTCAGCACAGTACCTGGAACATAGTTGACACTAATTCCTGGATGCACTGATGGACAGATGGATGACGACAGACTTACACACATATGCGTAACTGGATGGATGGACAAACAAATACGGAGATAGATGGACAAAGGAATGGATAGACAGATGTCTGGACAGAGGAATGAATGTACCAATGCAGACTTTCAGTTAGGAAAGCCTGGTTCCAGTCCCACCTCGCTAATAATGATCTAATTAACAAGTCACTCTACCTTTCTAGGTCTTTTACTCACATATAAACAAAAAAGGATTAGACCCACTGACGCGAGAAGGCTCTTTCTAGCTACTAAATTAGATGACTAACACCGAGGCAGAATTTTTTCATTTTAAGCAATTAGAGAAGTTTGCTGGTGGAGATCCTTGATGTTTATAACCCTGTTAGTCATATTTAATTAAGACTGAACTGATACCATATCCTTGACTAGGCAGATATCCCTGATCCTCCCACTATTCCTACATAAAAACATAATTCACTTTAAGAGGAGGACTCACATGCTTTTTAGAACTGCAGTACTGTGAGGTTTGCACCGAGAGCCTCAAACACCTACTGGGGGCAAACTTTAAGTCTTTTTTTCTTTAATCTATGAAAAAAACATACCAATCTACTGGTGACAGATCTTTAAACAAGAACAACTTAGCTAAAGTCTTTTTGCAAGTCAGTAAAACACGGTCCTTCATGAGATAAATGTAGCCACTTACCTTTTACTTTCTTATCAAACTTTTTCTGTCTCATTTTTTCTCGGTTTTCTTGTCGAACTTCCTTTGCTTCTTCTAATGCTTCCTGACTGCCCCAAACTTCAAGAGACCGCTTCACAATCTACAACACAGAATCCATATTTAAATAAGCTGTCATTCAGAGTTGTTAAGTATTATAAAGTTTTAATGATTAAATCCGTGAGCACCAAAACATGATCTCACTCAAAGGCAATTTTGTAAGTATTTGAAATTTTTTTAAGAGATTAAATAGTGCTTAGACGGGTGCCTGGGTGGCTCAGTCGGTTAAGTGTCCCATTCTTGATTTCAGCTTAGGTCATGATGTCACTGTTCATGACATTGAGCCCCATGTTGGGCTCTGCACTGACAGTGTGGAGCCTATTTGGGATTCTCCCTCTCTCTCTGCCCCTCACCTCCTCGAAGTGCACTCTCTCAAAATAAATAAACTTTAAAAAAATAGCACTTAGATTGCTGGTGGGAATGCAAACTGGTGCAGTCACCCTGGAAAACAGTATGGAGGTTCCTCAAAAAATTAAAAATAGAACTACCCTACAACCCAGCAATTGTACTACTAGGTATTTACCCAAGGGATACAGGTATGATGTTTCAAAGGGGCACATGCACCCCAATGTTTATAGCAGTGCTATCAATAATAGCTAAAGTAGGGAAAGAGCCCAAATATCCATCGATGGATGAATGGATAAAGAAGATGTGGTGTGTATATATATATATATACATACATACATACACACACACACACACAAATACACAATGGAGTATTACTCGGCAATCAAAAAGAATGAAATCTTGCCATTTGCAACTACGTGGATGGAACTGGAGGGTATTACGCTAAGCGAAATTAGTCAATCAGAGAAAGACAAATATTATATGACTTCACTCATATGAGGACTTTAAGAGACAAACCAGATGAACATAAGGGAAAAGAAGCAAAAATAATATAAAAACAGGGAGGGAGACAAAACATAAGAGACTCTTAAATATAGAGAACAAACAGAAGGTTGTTGGAGGGGTTGTGTGGGAGGGCGGATGGGCTAAATGGGTCATTAAGGAATCTACTCCTGCAATCATTGTTGCACCATATGCTAACTTGGATATAAATTTAAAAATAAATAATTTTTTAAAAATTAGTGCTTAGAAACTCAATAATACTTCTATTTAAGCCTATAAAACCCTCAATAAATGTATGCTTAATTAGACTATAAATAGAAAAGCTGTCCTCTGACTATAATTATTTCTCGGATACACTGTTTTCACATAAATTCACAGAAGTACAAGTAGTTGGTGCATCTGATAAGTTTTGTCACACTCACCAAAAAACTTAGCCATAGCCATCTCAGTATGAGGTCACCTCCAAAAAACCTCCTACCACAGAGAACCCATAACTACTCCTTTCCTCCTCTTCAGTTCATTACGGTTTCCATCCACTTGACTAATTTCTGATCTTTAGAGTATCAACTTGTTTTTAAACTTTGGTACCTGAATGACCTAAAAGCCTTATTCTTGTTTAAAAACTCTGCATTATAATATCTTTACTCTTTGTAATATTTATTTACATTTAGGAGACTCACATACATACTAAGAATTATGCTTAGGCTCTCTCTCACAATAATGTTAAGGGGACCAAAATATCAATCAAGGTAGCCAAGCTCAAATTTCCTCTTAACATAATAAAGGGATATACTGGCATTTCCTAAATTCTAAAGCATCACATTTTCCACAATTTAATACCCCTGAAGATGCTGCAGCAGCAATCTGCTTTCTGGTACTTTAACAACTGAGTCAAAAGGCAATTCAGAAGAACTGGACTCTGAATGCAAAGAAGTTTAGGAATATCTTATCCGTACTTGCATTCTCCTATTTATGTATGCACAAGCATGACGTATAGCAAAAAAATAAAATAAAATAAACTACACTAAGTCTGATGGCACTATCCCAGTAAGTGTAAAATAAAAGCCTCAAGTAATGAGAAAGCATTGGGTTGGCATTTTTTAATTGTTAATGGTACATAAAATAATAGTGAATCTTCTAATCAACAGTGTCTTAGGTTTAATAAAATTCAATAAATGGTTGGTTTTACTATTTATTTATTTATTTATTTATTTATTTATTTATTTATTTATTTATTTTAATCTTTAAGTAGGCTCCACACCAACATGAAGCAACTCACGCCCTGAGATCAAGAGTTACATGTACTACTGACTGAGTCAGCCAGGCACCCCTACAATGCAGCTTCTTAATTTTATTTGGAGATACTAGGGTTTTCTAGTATTTTCCAATCAAACTGCTCTAAAGCAATGCCTCCCCGTATTTTTTTATATACTGGCACAAAAATATAACCTCTGTACCATTGTGGGATAGATACAGGAGGCTGCTAGTGACTCCTTATGGGTGTGGGTAACTATCTCTGCACACCTATACCACCATCACCACCACATGAGGAATTGAGAAGATCCACTGTGAGACACAGTAGAGTTACTTGGACACTTGACAGGGTTCCAGATGATTATTTCCCAAGTGGAGTTAGATCTTAGGCATTTGTGAAATTCCTGAAACTTTTTAAGAATTTCATTGGAGGGTGGGTGTGCAGGGAAATGGAGCCTAACCCTTAACTCCCAAGTTTTGTTTTGTTTTGTTTTGTTTTTAATTTTTTTTTTTTCAACGTTTATTTATTTTTGGGACAGAGAGAGACAGAGCATGAACGGGGGAGGGGCAGAGAGAGGGAGACACAGAATCGGAAACAGGCTCCAGGCTCTGAGCCATCAGCCCAGAGCCTGACGCGGGGCTCGAACTCACGGACCGCGAGATCGTGACCTGGCTGAAGTCGGACGCTTAACCGACTGCGCCACCCAGGCGCCCCTAACTCCCAAGTTTTTTAGTTCCCTAATTGCACTAGTAACATTACTCCATAGTAATATATTTGCCCAAAGTACCACTCCAAAAAGTAAAATGTTATTAGATGTCATCACATATGACCGCAACTTGTAAGCAAAACAACAAAAGGAAAAGGATCTTTTTAACTGTAAGCAAAAACTAAACTAATTATCACTAGTTTATTGTTAAAACTTCACCTGATCGAGGGTTTAACATGAGTATAACTTATCAGAGACCTGCAATTTTAAGTAGAGTTTCATATCACCCCATTGTGAATGATGAGGATTCTTCTTCACAATGAATTTAAGAGCTGGTTCTCTTTTTTCTAAATCACAGTCTTTCAGAAGGTATTCTTGTTTGGCTTCTGTTTTAGTTATGAGCTTGTGTTTATCATCAGCATCTCTGAAAACAAATGAAGTCCAGTACTAAGTTAGCTACTTTAAATAAACTAAGTTTTCAAATAGTCCAACAACCTAGGGGCATGCATGCCTAAACATAAAAGTTTTTCCTTGGACTCTCACAGTCAAGTTAGCAGCGTAAAAATTCTAACAGAAAAATACTTATTTGGAGAAGCTAGATTATATTAGCCATAGATCCAGGTCATTTAACACTCTAAGAATTTCTTTTCTACTTAAAGTCCCTCTTTTCCACAATGGATTTGAAATCTCTTAATATGAGTACAGTAAATATAATGGAGAACTAAGACTCAATGAGTAAGAAAATATAAATCAAAGCACAAAGTCAGGATGAGTGAGCTATAAGGAATATAAATATGCAAGGTCCAACTGTCCCAACACAGTTCAGTTTCCAGTTGGCTTTGAGCTTTTTCAAAGCCAAGGTAAAAATGGACACATAGTCAATTACATAGTTCTTCTCATTTATTTTTTCTCCACATACATGCCAGATACATGGAAGGTACTAGGTACAGGTACTAGGAATACAGCAAAGAAGAAAACAAAGCCGTGTTTTCATGAAGCTCCCATTCTGGTTAGGAGAAGACAATCAATAAGCAAACATCATGACAGATAAAAGTGCTATAAAGGAACATAAAGCATGGCAAGGGAAAAGAAATTTTCTGGTAGACTGGGTAATCAAAGAAGGCCACTGATGAGAGGGCATTTGAGGAGGGCCCTTAAAAAGTTAGAGAACATCAAGGGGTGCCTGGGTGGCTCAGTTAAAGTGTCCGACTTCGGCTCAGGTCATAATCTCATGGCTCCTGAGTTCAAGCCCCGTGTCGGCCTCTGTGCTGACAGCTCAGAGCTTGGAGCCTGCTTCAGATTCTTTGTGTGTGTCTCTCCCCCTCTCTCTCTCCCAAAAAATAAACAAACATTAAAAAAAATAAAAAGAGAACATCCTATTTGAAAAGCTGGAGAAAGAACATCCTAACCAGAGAGAACAGAAGCTCTAGGGCAGGAATGTGCTTTGCAATGAGCCGGTGTGACCAGAAGGCTTAAAAGGAGGGACGAAGGTGAGGAACGATGGGAGATCAAGTTAAAGACAGGCAGGGGCCCTGTAAGCAGCGGTGAGACCATTCTATTCCAGATGGATTAAGAACCGTTGACAAGTTCTAACTAAAACATCTACATAGAAGAGGCCAATGGTGCAAAGTGGGGGACACAGGCCAGTTAGAAGACCACCAGTGCGGTGCTCCAGGCAAGGGCTGATGGTGGCCTCAGCTGAGGTAGAAGTGGGTGAGGGGGTAAGGGGATAAACTGAGTGAGGATATGGAATGAACAACAGAGCCAAATGGATTTGGAATAAACACTGGATAAGCAGAGATACGGTAAATAAAACTGGCCTTCACTGAAATGAGGTACAGATCAGGTAGGGGAGACTCAACATTAGAAATAACTTTATGAAAGCTAAATAATTTGGAAGTTTAAGCTAAAGGAGGTGACAGGTAAACAACACTGTACTAAAATTAAAATCTTCAAAAATTTTGAAAGGAAACAGAATGGAGGGCTGTGTTCCTAATTACTTTGAAGTTTAAAAATATCTTTTTTCCAGACTACTTTCCACAACTTTCTTTAAAGTGATACATCAATTTCTCATGGAAATAAGATTATGCGTGGTAATTTTGTTCCCAAAAGCTATCCGTACTTTAAAGAGTGACAATACTGTGGACCTTAACCACTGTGTGTCAATGGGAAGAGACTTTATATTGTTTGTAATTCCAACAGGAATTTCCAGTCACAGATCCAATCACAAGACCAGAAACATCTCTATCTTCTCAGGATTCTATCTTCTCAAGATCCTACACAGCAACAAGTCAATGGGGATGACTCCTGATGGCTGCAGCAGGGACTCAGAAAGGGCAAGTCCTCCAGGCAGGTGAGCAAAAGGTCTAGGGCAGCAGGTCCAAGAAGTGGGACCAGGGAACAGATAAGAGGGCTAAGTAAGACTCCAAGGTAGGGTCTTAAGGCATGAAAGACACCAACACAGGATGCGGCTGGGGTAAACAGCAGGGACAAAACCATGTGGAATGAGAAGGATTATCCTGGGGTGACAGAAGAAGAGGACAGCAGCTAGGAAAAGAAGAAAAAGGATGAGAGAAGAATGTGAGTTTTCCTCATCTCTTCTCCCCCTGCCCATTCAGGAGAGTAAAGCAGGCATGGAAGGGGGTGCTCTGAGAGTGCCAGGGGAGTGGCTGGAGACGCTTCACTCCCTTCCTCTCACTGAAGGCCCCAGTCCTCTGACCAGTATGTCTACACACACTGGGGTAAGCACAGGGGACCCTTAGCAGCTGGGGGAAGAGAGAGGTTAGGAACCTGCTACTGAGAGATGGTAAAGACCCACCAGGCCCACAGAAAGGAGAGGACATATCTATGGCTGAATCAGGGCCATCCTTCCTGTTTATGCGACACATCATAACTTTCACAAGCACGGGCTTCCGTATTTCTTTAGCAAGATGGAAGTCACAGAAATTTTAGGAAACACCCAAAACAAAAATCATAATTACTAAGAAAATATTAAATCCAAATGGCTCTAATTATTGATTTGCCCTAAAGCTGCATGCAAACATTAAATTTTAGCAACTGAGAACACTGTCTGAAGTAAGTACCTGCAGTTGTCACAAGTTGCCAAATCAAAGTGGTTCATAAGGTAAGAATCCATAAATTCTTTACCACATTCTTCACATATCGCATAATCAAATTCCATAACAGGTCCTAAAGAAAGGAAGGTTAATTCTTTAAGTGTCCTTTTTTATAACAGAACAATAGATTTCCCCCTATCTTAAATTTATCAGTATGTACTTGATAACTGATGCAAATACATTTACCTAAAAGACAAAACATGATTAGGTAATCTTATACTTACCTTAAAATTTTAAGGAAAAAACTATCAATTCATCAACTATTTTTGAACACAAAACCTATGTGTGAGGTACTTGTATCAGTTTCATATTGCTGCTTGTAACAAATTACCACAAATTTACTGACTGAAAACAACACAAGTTTATTATGTTACAGATCTGAAGTTTGTGGGTCTGACACAGGTCTCAGTGGGCTAAAGTCAAGGTGTATGCAGGGCTGCATTCCTTTCCGGAAGTTTTAGGGGACAATCTATTACCTGCCATTTCCAGCTTCTAGAAGCTGCCTGCCTTCCTTGACCCATGACTTCCTTCCTCCATCTTCAAAGCTGGAAGTAGCAGTTTCTCACACCACTCTGGCTTCTTCCATAATCACATCTCCCTGTGACTCTCTCCTGTCTTTTACTTTTAAGTATCTCTGTGAGTATACCGGGCCCACCTGGATAATAGAGAATAATCTCCCACATCTCAAGGTCTTTAACCTTAATAATATCTGCAAATTCCTTTTTGATACAGAAGGTAACATATCATGGGTTCCAGGGTGATTAGACGGTGGACATCTGTGGGGACCCTGTCTGGCCTACCACCATACTTCTGAGAGAAAGGTTAGTCCCAGAGTCGAAGGGAGGGGAGGCAGCTGCTTAGACAGGAAGACGGGCACTAACACATAACATGGGGAAAGCAGCAAAGAGCAAGTTAACACTAGAAGAGACAACACAGGATTCACTTTCAAATGGGAAACTTTTTCTCTCCCTCCATTCCACCCGGCCCCCAACACCACCATGAACAGAGCAAATGCATTGATCTCAACCACAAGACTGTAAACTTGAGGGTAAAGATTATATTTGGCTATCTACCCTCAATTCCCAGCACAGAAACTACACTAGGTAAAGCTCAGTTTTTTTAAGGACTTCAAACACCTAGCTAGGGATCTTTATCCTATACAATTGGTTCTCTTCAGGATGACTGCTACTGCCAAGCCCCAGCTCTAAGAACCGCCACAACTCCCAATAGGAAGAGTTATCATTTGTTCACAATTTGTTCAATATATTCCTACCACTGCCTTCCCTTACCTACTCCCAACACCACAAGGTCAGTTAATATTCTACCATCCCTCAATTCCACTAATCTCCAAACTCCAACAAAAATATCACTCTTCCTTGTAAAACATTAGAGGGACATAGCTATAGACAAAAGGAAAAGCTAAAATATAGTCAAAATGATATCTTCAAAAAAGTGATTACAGAATGTGTTAGAATGGAGATAAACTGCAGTCAGAAATACCAATTAGGAGGCTACTGCATAGCATTACTAATCAAAAGCCATAAAAGGTGCAGATATTTTCCTAATTTTAAAAACTCTTTATAATGAAAAGTTTTAAATTACATAATGATTTTTCAATTCCATCAATCCCTTTAAATCTGCCATGTGGAAACTGGCAGTCAACTGTATGCAAGATCCTTCCCCACTGGCCATTCATTTATTCATGTATTTATTATTGTTATAGACTCATGGATTCCTGTATTTTCCAATGGTATATAATTTATTAGTGTCCTTAATTACTTTGGTGCTCAATTTATCTCAGATGTGGCCAGCAGGAGCCCCTTCAAGCTGGCTCTTATGTCCCTGTAACATACCTCTATTACTTTTTGAATACTTATATATTACTGGCATTACAAAATGCCCCAAACTCACCTGGTAGCCATCCTGCCCCAACCCTAGAATCAGCTATTTCTCTGAAGGGCCCTGGTTCCTGTTAGTGGGGGAACAGTATCAGAATCTAAGATCTGGACACCAGGTATGCTCATTGCTACTGGGCTATCTTCACTTCAAGTCCCTTTCTGTGGACAGAGCTAACACATGCACATGTGTGTATACACCCCACCCCCCAACACACACATATCTTTTTGAGGTGTAAGTGCTATATTGTATGAGTTTCACATGTCCAACATAATGATTCAATATTTATACATATATTGTGAAATTATCACAGTAAGTCTAGTTAACATCTGTTGCCATAGTTACAAAAATTTCTCTTATGAGAACCTTTAAGATCTAGTCTCCTAGCAACTTTTATTTTATTTTTTTTTTTATTTTTTTTTTAAATTTTTTTTTAACGTTTATTTATTTTTGGGACAGAGAGAGACAGAGCATGAACAGGGGAGGGGCAGAGAGAGAGGGAGACACAGAATCGGAAACAGGCTCCAGGCTCTGAGCCATCAGCCCAGAGCCTGACGCGGGGCTCGAACTCACGGACCGCGAGATCGTGACCTGGCTGAAGTCGGACGCTTAACCAACTGCGCCACCCAGACGCCCCTCCTAGCAACTTTTAAATGTGCAGTACAGTACTATTAACTAGTTGCCATGCTGTACATTACATCTTCATGACTTAGTCTGTAACTAAAAGTCTGTACCTTTAGATCCCCTTCCCCCCCACTTTCCCCTATCATCTTCTTGGTTATTCTGACGAACCTCTGTTCTAGATTATAAAAGCATTTGACAGGCTTTGCTTTATAGGCAAATGACTCAAATAATTTTGATTTTCTCAGCTATGCTGAAGGTCTTTAAAATTAACAAAGAAAACGTGATAGAAAATATTAATCATTCTCCCTGTTTTCTTCTACCCACCCAGGTCAGCCACATCAAGTTGTGCCAGCCCCCTTGTGCAAAGGCATCTGGCCAAGGGGGCAAACAGGGGCAAAATGCAGCCCATGACCACTTTTTAAGCCATGAACCTTGGCCCAAACTAAGCCCAGAGAATGAGGGCCTTTTCTAATTGGCCTCCCAAAGGAGACACTATTGAAGGAAGTAACAGAGAAGACATGATGGCCAGCTGACCCATGAGCCAGACCTGGGCAATTAGAGACTCCTCACTCCCTACCCTGTTCTTGGAATGCACATTCTGCCCATCAATCCCACAGTGGGAGCTGTTCCAAGGACAAAGCCTTGGAAGAGTAAGTGTCACTGAGGCCACCTGACCTGAATATGTGACTGAACCCAGTTAAGGCCTCTATATAAACTGTTAAGATTTGGCAGGTGGGTGCAGAGATCTGCTTGTCTTGCAGCCACCCAAGACAAGCCTTATAAGTTCCCTTGTTAATTAACGCTGCCACTTACCAATCTGGAGTGGTCTCTTTCTTTGGTCTCTCTTGCTGTCTGTGCACCAGACCAGTTTGCAAACCAACACACACTTTCCCTAACTTCCACAGATTCCTTACCAAAGTTCTTATTACAAGCAGCAGCATACCAAGCAATGCCACATGCATACCTTAGTTAAGCAGGAAGGCACTACAATAGGTTATCAATAAATATTTGTTGTGTGATCTGTTAAATAAAAGCATAGGCTTTACAGCTCACAGTTGATTCCAAAATCTACAGAAAAAAGTTACAATGAGTCTTCATATCCATAAAAGCATAGAGACTTTCAAGATCTTTCATTCAATGCCTTCCCTCCTCATACAGGGCTTTTCTAAAACATCCTGGTCAGGTGGTCTTTTAATCTCTGAACCCCTCCAACGCTTTGCTATTTAGAGGCAGCAATTTACATAGTTAGAAAGTTTTTCCATTTCACAGAGTCACCATAAGGCTCACATGCTCTATGTGCCAACATTCTGTAAGTGCAAAGTGCTAAGTATATGTAAGGCACTCCTTCATTATACTCTCTCACCATACTGTAATCGTCAACCACTGTTCCAAGTTCTGCCCTCCAAAGCAAATCACAGTGTGAGCTCTCTTCCACAACGGGGCACTTCTTGCATTTGCAGGCAGTTAGAAGTGTTCCTAAGTTAAACCTAACCAGTTTGACAACTGTTCCTCACGTGTCAATTTGAAGACTTCTGTTTTGACCCCCCTGTTTTGGACACTATACACGTGTCAACATCCCTCTTAAATATGGCACCCAAACTGAACAAATATTTTAATCCTTCAAGTCTCAGCTTCTGAAACGAGTTTAGGCACACATAGAATAGGACAAGACTATTACCCATCTTGGTGAATACATAACATTTCTGTTGCCACAGCTAAAACTAGAATGCATTTTTTTTAAGTCTATTTATTTATTTTGGTAGAGAGAAAGAGAGAACCAGCGGGGGAGGGGCAGAGAGAGGGAGACGGAGGATCCAAAGCAGGTTCTGCCCTGACAGCAGAGAGCCTGATGCAAGGCTCAAACTCACGAATCATAAAATCATGACCTCAGCCAAAGTTGGACACTTAACCAACTGAGCCACCCAGGTGCCCCTAGAATGGGTTTTTTAAGCCTCACCAAGATAAATATATACAGATACATATCCCATTTTTTTCCTTCAAACAAACAAAAGAAAGAATGTCCTAAATTGTATCTCTTGGGTTCTAGCCCCTTATTTCAGCCTATCTAGATAACTGAGTATTCGACCAGTGAATATATTGGCTATCCTGGCCTATCATAAAACAAACGTAAGTATACAAACCCCAAGTTAAATTAATCATTGCTAAATCTGTTTAATTTTTAATCTACCAGCAAAACTGCCAAACTTTGTCACTCTTATAAAGCTAACCTGCTCACTGATTATAAGAAGGTATTATTTAACATCAGTTTGCAAAGAATTATGCATGTAACTCAAAATGACCAATCTAGATACCAACTTTCTGGAAATACACTTTACCTGGTTGATGGACAACTTTTCCAATTGTACATTGTTCCTCTTCTTCCTCTTCTAGAATGAAGCCTCCTCCTGTGTCGGTGATCTTTGGGGCTGCTTTTACATTAGCCACGCCTATAAAAAGTAAGTAAAAGTGGTCAATGATTTAACTGGGTAAGCCCTTAAGTTCCCTTGTGCATAAACAGGAACTTTCTTTAAATTTAATAGATATCAAACAAGACAAGGATGTCCACTATTAACACTTCTACTCAACTTTATACTGAAGGGCCCAGCTAGCAGAAGATGATAAGAAAATAAAACAGGCATAAAGGTTGGAAAGGAGTAAAAGTCTGTATATTCTACATACATAATCACATCATCTGTGGATAAAGACTGATCTATGACATATGCCATGAAAAAGACGGAGAAGAACTTGCTTAGAATGTGGTGCTAAAGGTCTGAGGAAACAGCAAGGTGGGGCAGCGGAGAAATTGGGCTTTGTCTTGGCATGACTGAGCACCTGCTCAAGTGATGGTCCTGACTACTCCAGCTGGAGTAGTCTTTTTCATGGCCTATATCACAGCTCAGTCGGAAAATGAAAATTGTACAGTACACTGAAATAAAAGTACTGCAAAGATAAAAAATCTCAGCACCAAACCTAACTCTTGAAGCACAACGGGTTGTATACCACGTTGCAGCACAGTTCAGTTCTTGGGTCAGTGCCTGGGAAACCTTACAGAATATTCATTCTACCTTGCTTTCCATGACCGAAAGTTTTATACCAGCTTATTGTTCTATTACACACCCGGGTTCCACAGCCATTTAGTACAGATCTACAAACCTTTACAAAATCACAAATATTAACGCAAATGCACAACTTTTTGTCCCGACTCCAGAACGTCTCAAGTTGAGAAACTAATAAAAAAAAGTACTAGAAAACAGAAAGGATGAGACCAGAACCATTAAAAGTGGCTGGAATTTGCAGATTCAGGGTCAGGATAAATATAAAGACATGCTGCCAGCCCCAGACTCTTGGCGTTCTTCCTTACTTCTGGCTGATGAAAAGGGCTCTACATGTGCTCACCTACTCATACAGTATGGGACGTGGCTTTAGGAACATGTGTATTTCGTGTTACAGAGGTGGTCCTAAAGAAGTGCATGTCAACCAAACTATATTTTCAATCCCTAGGGATGATTATTACTTGGCTCCAGTGGAAAATAACACCACAGCAACGTACATACATAGATTACAGACACGCAGTTAAGGGCTGCCCTAAGAAAGGGGGGAAGATAACATTTAGACATAATAACAGCCTTTCTTCTTAAAATTGAGAGATGGCTGCATAGAAGAGGCAGTCGGTGGCAAGGAAAGGCCCTGAACCCGGTATCATATAACCTCAATTCTAGTCCCGATTAACCTGTTGGACTTGATCCTATGAACCCCAGCAGATCCCTTTCCTTTCCTGGTCCTCAGTTACCACCTCAGTAAAATACCAGTACCAAACCCTGCCCTAATTATTTTCCAAGTTAACAGAATCAAATTAGCTAACTTGAAAGGTGTGAAGCACAACAAGCGCTACTCTTGACAGCCCCACGAAGGCAGGAGCTCACCACCTCTTTTGGTGCCCCAGCACGTAGCAAGCACGGTGCCGGGTCCAGAATATGCACTCAATCGCCCTTTGTTGAGTTGATGAATTCGGGAACGGTGCAGAATTATTCCTGCAATGGGTTACAAGTCTAAAAGCTTTATACGAGGACTACCGCTGGGACTGCTAGAGGCACATCAGGAAGAGAGCAGAAAGGGAAAGCTGAGGCGCCCACCGACACTGGCTGGTACCTCCCGACGGCGAGAGCGGCCGCATCCCCAAGCTAAAGACGGCAGCTGGGCCGCCCAGGTGCAGTGAGGAAAGCCCGGGGTCCAGCGCACCCGCCGGCGGTCTCGCACAGCCCGCTTTGACACGGCCCGCCGAGCGGACTCCCGGGACTGCGGGAGGACAGGAGCACAGACAAGGGGGCAGCCGACGCCACGCCCAGGACTTGGTACCCGGCCCGCCAGAGGGAAGGGGCAGCGCCGCCAGGGCCCAAACCTCCGGTAGCCGCAGCCGCCGTCGCCGGGTAGGGCCGGGCCGCCAGCCGGGCCTGGCGCAGCATCAGCGCCCGCTGCCGCTTCCGCTCTATGCTCGCCCGCACCGACGCAGGGAGCTCCGCCGGCTGTTCAGAAGCCGCCGGCTCCGGCGAAGGTCCCCCAACCGCCGCCATCTCCACGTTCCCCAAAGGGCCGAGGATCTAGCCCCGCGCAAGCGCATCAGCGCGCCGAAGCCTGCCCACAGCCCCGCCGCGACGCCAGCACCGCCTCCGCGTAGACTTCGCCATACAACCTCCGAGGAGAGCGCCTGCGCACTTTGAGGAGGAGGGGACGAAAGGCAGGGGCGGTGGGCGGGGTCTGCGCCTGAGCTGGGGAAACCGCTTGCTGGTCACCTGGGAGGACTCAGGCCGAGGTCAATTTTCAGTACCCGGTAGTCTTTTTTTTTTTTTTTTAATTTTAACTTGTTTTATTTTTTATTTTTTTTAATTTACATCCAAATTAGTTAGCATATAGTGCAACAATGATTTCAGGAGTAGATTCCTTACTGCCCCTTACCCATTTAGCCCATCCCCCCTTCCACAACCCTTCTTGTAGCCCTCAGTTTGTTCTCCATATTTGTGAGTCTCTTCTGTTTTGTCCCCTCCCTGTTTTTATATTATTTTTGTTCCCTTCCCTTATGTTCATCTGGTTTGTCTCTTAAAGTCCTCATATGAGTGAAGTCATACAATTTTTGTCTTTCTCTGACTAATTTCACTTAGCATAATACCCTCCAGTTCCATCCATGTAATTGCAAATGGCAAGATTTCATTCTTTTTGATTGTCGAGTAATACTCCATTGTATAGATATATCACATCTTCTTTATCCATTCATCCATTGATGGACATTTGGGCTCTTTCCATACTTTGGCTATTGTTGATAGTGCTGCTATAAACATTGGGGTGCATGTGTCCCTTCAAAACAGCACACCTGTATCCCTTGGATAAATGCCTAGTAGTACAATTGCTGGGTGTAGGGTAGTTCTATTTTTAGTTTTTTGAGGAACCTCCATACTGTTTTCCAGAGTGGCTGCACCAGCTTGCATTCCCATCAGTACCCAGTCATCTTTAAAATAATAGTTTCGCTTGGTGGTTCTGAATAGGGGCTTTGGAGTCAGATCTGGGTTAAGTTCTAGCTCTGACACTTACCACTGTGTGACCTTGGTGAACAAGTTATTTAACCTCAGTTCAGTTTCTTCAGTAGTCAAACAAGGATAATTATGGAACACTCGCTGGGTTGATCAGATGTAAGGATTTTACATTTTACATCTGATCTGAAAGATCAGATGTAAGGATTTTCGGCACAATGCCTGGCATATGGAAAGCTTCCAAAAATAAGGGCAGCTAGTAGTAATAGTAGTGCCAGTCAAGAAAGACCAACAGATGATTCATCTGACTGTACTTTGAAAGCATGGCCTAGGGGACAGAGTCTTAGATTTGATATGAGAAACCCCTGGGTTCAAACTCTCACCTGCTGTTTGACGTCAGGCAAATGCAGCACCTGGTGCCAAAGCTGGTATGCATAAACTTGGCTATCTTTTCCATGGAATATTACTTCAGTGAGGGTGAGGTTCCACCAGGTAACATCCAAACAAACAATGGGTTTGGATTTGGCCCAAATCCTGACTTTCCAAAAGTGAGTGGTAAATAGAGCATTTTGCAAGCAACATTGCATGCATTTCCAAAAATGTATGCTTTTTTTATTACAAATGAAATTTAATTGAAACCAGAAAACATTATGTTCTAATTACTGCATATACCATTTAGGACTAGTTTTCAGAACAACCTGGCATACTGAGGTTTCACACTAGAATTCAATGGTTAAAATTCAATAGTTAAAATTTGAGCAGCACAACCTAGTGGTTCTAATCTATTGAACATATATATATTCAATATATATTTTCTAATCTATTGAACATATATATATTCAATATAGATATTCTTATTTATTGAATATATACATATACACACACACACACACACACACACACATATATATAAGCTGGAGAACATCATAAAAACCAGATAAA